ATTTTTATAAAAGGTATTTAAATTTTCAACTACTTTTTCTCATTAATTTTAGATTTTTTTTAAAAAAAATAGCAAACACTCGTATAATACACGGACATTGTACTAGTTAATAAATAATCCACAGCAATCTAAACTATGGACAAATTAAAATAAGAGATGCTACAAAAGGGATCGATATATAGAGAGAAATAAATTACATATATAAATGCCATGTTTCCTTAGTACTTTAATAATGATAAAAACAACAATATAAAAATTTGTTGATTGAGCCATATATATATATGTGATATTAATATGACGGGTTAGACATCTAATCCTTACATCAGACTCAATCGTGTGGTGCAATATCATATCATTATCACATAATTTGATTCTAGCTAATGATTAAGCAAATCGATTCATCGTACATTATTAAAATAAATGCATATTTATACTAGCAAATGTTATACTAATGTTCGTGATGCTTTCTAAAGTATATATTTTTTCAATGAAAACTATAAATATTTTTATTTAAAAAAACATAGCTTTAAAAGTTAGGCCGATCAAACCTGAAATCTATTGTATCGGTAATGTATCATACTCGACCTTGCGGCAATGGTCGAAGACTATACATATATGTTGAATAAAGTAAAAGTTTAAGCATTCACTTCTGTTACGAAATTTAGGGGATGTATTTATTTGGTATTTCAAGTGACATTTTGACATTTTTTAAGATTTTCAGTCAAATTTCTTATAAGGTTTTTTTTTTTTTCATTTTATAAAACCCAACGATTCTGAAAAGGTTTTAACAAATCCTAATCACAATCAAAATTTTTAAAGTGTTAAAAAGTCATTAAAAAACGCAAATGAATAAGACACAATCAACTAGGACAATTTATATATAAAAATAATAATATAATAAACAATAACTTTGGTGTACTTCTTGAATTATAATAGTCCAAAAAATTCAATAAAGTGCGGCCGTGCACTTCAATATGTGCGAGATTATGACACTATTTGTCGGCATTA